ACTTGTCTGTCTTGTTTTTCCTTGTAACCCCAGCAGCTGGCACAGGGTTCAACACAAACCTGATGTCCTATAATTATTCGTCGAACAATGATTTTTATGGGTCTTTCATCGTTGGCTTTTTCTTTCCTACAACATACTTCCCTATAGAGGCAGTTCCTTATTTATAATTTGTTTTCCAAAAAGCAATTTATAAATTACTTTCAAAAATTAGAATGTAGCTTATAGAAGCAACTTTTGAAAAACTTGTATTTCCAATGGTAGCCTTTGGAATCCTATGCAGTGGCCCCTAAACTTGCAATACTTTAAAAATAGAATGAACAACTAGCACCTGGCACTGTGGCACGTGCACATGATTATAGTTATATACACTCTTCTATCACCCAGCCAGATTCTGTAATAGGCAAACCCCAAATGTGACACATATGCATGAGTGGTACAAACTAGTGATGGCAGATGTGATTTGCGGTAAGGGGGAAAGAGGAAAGAGAGCCCGAGAATGGCTAATGCCTGTGGGAGGAGTTGAGGTAGAGGCAGGGGAAGGATCTTCCATTTCTTAGCAATGTGGGTGGCTTGTGGCTTCCAACCTTTGTTGATTTTGCTTTGATCACATCTCAGGCATGTACTCCCTTGTGCTGTTTTGGATCATTTCCAAAGCTTATTGCTCCTGGAGGTTGGGGCCCCAGAGATAAGGTGGAAGCAGATGGGTTAGGGCATGCCTGCGTTGAGAAGGGCTTCCCCACAGGTTTTCTAGCCTGCCAAAGAAAGGGACTATAGGCTAGCCCTGGGATGCGATCTTAAAGGGGCAAATGGCAGCCAAACCAGGCAACCTGCCCCCAGCTTTCCAGGGAGAGGCTCATAGCTCCTCAGTCAAGGCCTCCTCACACCCAGGCCAGCTCTTCCCAGAAAGAGGTGTCGGGGGGACTCCCCCTCTTCAAGGCCTCCTCTTTTCTGCAGTCCAGACATGGGGCCAACAGGAAGCCTCTCACGTCCCCCTCAGCTCTACAGGGAGATACCCAGGAATGAAACCCACCTGCTTCCCCTCTCCCCACAAGAAGACCTAGTTCCTGTCCCTTTCTGTGTTTGACTCTGCACAACATTCCGCTGTCAACTGAGTGTTTCTACGACCTGAGGCGATGCACTTTCCCCTCCCGCCATACATGCCTGGGACGTTCTTCTTGCCCTTCTGTCCCCATCGCCCCACACCTGCTGCCTGGCAGGGACTGATTGGACTACTTCCCTCTTGGTACATGCCCTTATGGGTCCATTCTGTCAAGAGGAGAAGAAGGCTCCAAAAGGCTTTGGCACAAACACCTCCATTGTTTTCCCCTAGGACCACCTCTGTTTGCCTTCCGTTGCCAGCGAACGAAAGCTGCCCCTGTGGGACAGAGAGGGGTAGAGGTCAGAGGGCAGGCTGCTGCCTCACCTAATCACCTCCCTCCCCTTCCTCCGCTGGACTACAGAGAGTAAATTAAAGACATCATAACAGTATATCCTTAAATACTTCAGCATGTCTCTCCTATGAGTAAGAATGTTCTTTTACATAACCACAATATGAGGGTACTTCAAAACATTCATGGAAAGATTCGTATTATCTTTTAATTCTATTTTTCCCATGAACTTTTTGAAGTTCCCTTGTACTATTATCACACTGAACAAATTTAACATTAATGGAGTAATTTTTATCTAATATTCAGACTATTGAATGTCTTATTCTTAAAAATATGTCAGGAAAGATATTTGTTTTGTAATCAATCCCAATGGTTAATGACTTTCAAAGACAGTAATAGCTTATATTTTTGAGGCACCTTAAAAAATCTGATGAAAGCTCTGGGCCCTATCTCCAGAAAAATATCCTTAAAGACACTTATACAAGTCCACAATGCACACAACTTGGATCATTCCAGGGTGTCCGTGGACTGCAGGTTAAGTTGTTACTGTTTAATCTAAATTCTTCTCCTTTGTGCACACGCAGGTTAAGACCACAGCACTCAGAAAAGATGGAGAACAGCTTATCTTCACCTTCCAACATTATGTTTTGTGTTCATGAACCTTCATTTCATGGAACTCAAAGTTTCAAGGAACTCAGAGATGGGTAGATGGGAGATAATATTATCCTCAATCTATTAGAAGAAAACTGAATCCCAAATAAGGCTGACAGTTGTACTATGACAGACACCCAGCAGGTGGACTAAATGATTAGAATAGAAGTTCTAGAAGAACACTTCAAAACTTGAGCTTCTCTGATTCTGCAAGAGCTTGTGCTCACAAGCCTACACTTGCTTTCCTGATAATTTACTTTCAAAACAAAATACCTGTAACATTCCATCAGGGTTGGCACAACATTTAAGGATCTAATATCTAAAAGTAGAATTTGTTGGCAGTTACTAAGATAGTTTCATCAACAAAATTGCCCGATTTGGTTCTAGGACTAGGAAGTGGAAACAGGGGGCGTGGATAGACACTAGCAAATTAGGGTAACATTAAATGTCCTTAATTAAAAGGCGAGCTGAAACTGCCAAGGTCAAGTTGCACTGTGGGCTCTATTTTGTCAACTGTAAACTCGCAAAGAAAATTCATTAGCTAACCATACTCCAACATATGTCAGCTTACTGGTGTTCCTCTCCATAAACAGATTAAAGAAAATGAGAGACATTTCTAGCTCAGTTAGAAAAATGACCAAGTTTAGCTAAAAGACACAAATGTGCAAATACCTGATGCTATGGTCTAGCACAAATTCTATTGTCTGTTTGGTTTTTTTTCCCCATAATTCATCAAATGCCTCAAAATTACTTTCTGTAAAACTTTAATATTATGGAATCACATCACTTACTAATTAATGATTATCCAGTGTAAGTCTTGAAAGAAAAGAGTGTCAAAAAGCTAGCTAAACCTATGGAATTTATAGAAGTCTTATAGAGCTTTGAAAGGCTAAGAATTCACACACAGTGGAACAATCAGAGCTACGTGTGCAGGATAAACTTTTTATCCATCTGCTTTAACTGTAGCTATAAAAAAATGAGTTTTTCTTGAATTTAGCTAAATAATTGTCAAGTTCTTTGAGTCTGGCTTAAGAAACCTTGTTTTAAAAAAGTTTATCAGCATATGCATTAGTCCATTTTCTGTTGCTGTAACAGAATACTTGAGACTGGGTAATTTATAAAGAACAGAGATTTATTTGGCTTACGATTCTGGGACAGCTGCATCTGGTGCAGGCCTCAGGCTGCTTCTACTCATGGCGGAAGACGACAGGCAGCTGGTGGGTATAATCAATCATATGGCGAGAGGAAGCAAGAGAGAGAGAGGAGGTGCCAGGGTCTATTAAACAATCAGCTCGGGCCGGCCGGTGGCGCACTGCTACAGTGCGCCGCTTGGGAGCGCAGCGGCGCTCCCGCCGAGGGTTCGGATCCCACATACAGACGGTTCCCGCTCACTGGCTGAGCGAGGTGCGGGCGCAGCACCGAGGGTTGCGATCCCGTTGCCGGTCCCGGTCCGGTAGGGGTGCGACACTGAGGGTTGCGATCTGTTGCCGGACACGAAAAAAGACAAAAAGGAAAAAAAAAAAAAAACAATCAGCTCTTGTGGTAACTAATAGAGCGAGCTTCCACTCAGGTCCCCCCTCCCCGAGGGAGAGCATTAATCCATTCATGAGGGATCCGCTCCCATGACTCAAACTTGCTATACTGGGGATCAAAATTCCATATGAATTCTGGGAGGACAATATACCCAAACTCCATCAGCATAAAATAGCACAAATAACAATTTTTGCCAAATGCTATTCCTCTCTTTTGATTCATCCCTTACTAATGACCAGACCCTATCATGTTATGCCAAGCAAGAACCCCTTTCAGCATTTCTTATTTTTAATGGAAATACACCAGAGAATGCAACATGATTAGTCATTAGGGAAATGCAAATCAAAAACACGATAAGATACCACATCAGGTCCATTAGAATGGCTATAATCACAAAGACAGATGATAACAAATGCTGGTGAGGATTTGGAGAAACCAGAAACTTCATTCATTGCTGGTGGGGATATAAAATAGTACAGACACTTTGGAAAACACTTTGGCAGTTTCTTTAAAAGTTGAACATAAATTTACCGCAGGATTCAGCAATTCTATACCTAGGTTTTTACCAAAGAGAAATGTAAACATATGTCTACATAAAGATTTGCACATGAAAGTTCACCATAGCAGTACTCATAGAGTAGAAGCCAAAATTGGAAACAACCCTAATGTCCACTAACTGCTGAATGGATAAGAAAATCTAGTATATTCACACAAAGAATACTATGCAGCAACAAAAAAGAACAAAATACTAAAACAACTACAACATGAGTGAACTTCAAAAACATTATACTAAGTAAAAGAAGCCACACATAAAAGACCACATAGTGTATGATTCCATTTATATGAAATGTCTGGTAAAGGCAAATCTATGGAAAAAGAAAGTAAATTAGTGGTTTTCTGGGGCTGGTAGTAGGAAAGGGGATTAACTATAAATGGGCCTGAGGGATCTTACTGGGGTGATGAGAATGCTCTAAAACCAGATTATGGTGATGGTTGCATAACTTGGTAAATTTACTCAAAATCATTGAACTGTACACTTAAAGTGGGTCAATTTTATGGTATGTAAGTTATGCCTCAATAAAAAATACACCCAAGTTTCTCAAGGCCTTAAGAGAAATTTATCACCTTGGAATTTCAGCATAGTCTTGGTTCCCTCTGATTCTAAGAGTGTAAGCTGTGTATCACAGAAGAATGTTCCAGACATAAAAATGTTTACCCCTCCCAAAAGCTCCAAAAGTTTTACTACAAATGTAACTTTCAGTAACAGTTTGCCTTACCTGAGTGACTCCTGCTTTTCTGCTGGTCAGATGCTAAAGGAAAATGAGTAATGTGTGTACAGTCGGTTGGTAATAGCCTAATCGGGAGTATAAGAAATTTTATTCTATCACTGGGTTTAATCCTGATTTGCCCTCTTCATTTGTATGCAAGATTATTCCCTGATATAACCAGGTCCTTTAAAAAGTCACTTGACGTCAAGCACGGAGTGGTAAGTCTGACATTTCCTAGTGACCGTTTAGAAGTAGAGAGTTTAAATGATTGCACACTGCATATTATTTATAAAAAACAAACTAAAAAGAGTTGGAATTAGTTTTAATAATACTTATTCATTAAACACTTATTTCTGACTGTTTATTATGTGTGCAGCTTTCTATTAGGTGATGGGGATACAGAAATAACCAAGGTTACCAATTGCGAATAACTGATGATGCTGTACTTTTAGCTTAGTCACCAACTTTTCTTCTTTCACATGCATGGCAATAATTATATGTAATAGACTGGCAGTTAAAAACAAAAACAGCTTTTCTCTGATGGTAACTTTCAAATAATACAGAGAAATAGAAACAAAAGTAAAAATCATCTGAAATTGTTCTCTTCCTCCCAGGAATATTCGCCGTTTACATTTTAGTGAACTTCCTTACAAATGTCTCTTTATACATACGTACATAGAAAGACACATGCACACTCACACAGTGTATTGATGAGATTATACTGGACACTGTCCTCTGTAATCTACTTTTATCCCTCAGTATTTTCATGGATATCTTTCCATGTTAATAAACATAATTATTTGTCATCATTTTTAATGGATACATAGTATTCCATTGATTGAACATATCACAATTTAAAAATATCCCATATCACCAGGCATTTAGGTTTTTTCAAATTTATAGCTATTATAAACAATGCTGTGATAAGTAAAATTTGAACACACATTTTTGCAACTGTAAAATCATCTCTTCAGGGTCCATTCCCCTAGGAAGAATTCTTGGGTAAGAAAGTATGCTTATTTTATATATGGCCAAATTGCCTTCCAAAAAATTGGCCTCATACCCCAACAGTACGATGGGATCACCTATCCTTTCTAACATGAGCTTTAAAAAATAATGTTTTTCAATTTGATAAAGATATTTCAATTTTCTAACTTCATTTCTTTGATTATTAGTGAGATTGAGCATTTTCTCTGATGTTTATTAGTTATTCATAGTTTTCATGAATTATAGTTGATTTTCATTATTCACAGTAGTTATGTTTTGTAAAGTTGACATGAACACTGAATTAAGGAATACTGAACCCTTGCTCCTAGGAGAAGTATAAAGTTAGGTTCCTGAGAGCTTCCAGTCACAACATTTTTGTCAATTGATCAGTATAACTTTGTTTTTATGTATGTTTCTGTTTAAAGACACTTTATTTAATATATGTTAACTTACTAACATTTAACTCACAACCAAAAGCACTGAAACTCATGCCTGAATGAAGCTTTATTTACACACGTCTTTTTTCTGTGAGGCACATCATAGCCTTCTTGTGCTTAGGAACACTAGCCAGCACTTCAGCGATATGCTTGGGGCCATTTTAACCAGCTAAATCACCAACAAAAAGGATATAAATGTGGCAAACGTGGCACTAGATAGACTGCATAAAGGATACTTGATCACAGAATGACAACTGAAACAAGAAGGCTTTGTTGCTTTGTTGGACCTCATCTGGGACCGTGCATGTTAGGTGACTCAAATTTTTGCCACTCTGTGCATGTCCACGAATGACCTCAAAAGTGCTCCCAGTATGGATGTTGGGGTTACAAATAAATTTTAGCAAGTAGATGAATTCACAAATACAGAATTCATGAATAAAGAGGATTGACTGTATGTTTTCTTTGCCTATTTTTCTATTAGGGTGTTTAGCTTTTTCTTTTTTATTTGTGTAAGCTGTTTTCACATTAGGTTTGTACTCTTTATCCTGTTCTTTATAAATACTTGCCCCAGTTTTGTCTTTCCATCGTACTGGTATTGTCTGTTATCACAGTCACTTTTGACAGCAGTTTCAAAGTGCCTTTTGAATGCGTAATAACTTCGTATAGCATACATTATACGAAGTTATACGATACGTAGTTTCACCGCAAACACCCCAGTGTGTCTGAGCTTCCAGCAGAAGCCAAAAGCCAACAAGAAAAGAAGGGTGCCCAGACAAATCCCAAATTGCATCTGAAGACCATCTTTCCTAATTAAGGCCTTAGAGGTCATTGCTCAGCCAGGTATAATCCTGTACTAATATTAAAGCCTAATATTTAGGATTAATAATATAGGCAAGTGTCTTCCTGGGCATGTATTAATATCATACAAACTTTTTTAATTTGACAAACTTTCTGATTAGCATGAGTAAGTAGTTTTATTTTGCAAGAAGCTATTAAAAGTAATTGTACACGCAACACTTACAGAGTATAGTTTTATCTTGTAAAAAGG